CAACATGAAATTATTCAATTTGTCTTTGAAAGATATGAACGTTTCAATTCAAATTGCTGAGCGAATAGAGCCGCAACGAACCATAAATCAGGCCGTTTTCACAGGCTTGTCTGTCAAAATGTAGGTTTATCAGAGCCAGTACAATTATCTATATGGTGAAAAAACAATTATTGTCCTTTTGACCAAGGGAGGTGCCGAAATAGCTCTATTTTGGTCATAAATTTGTCAATGTATGTGCTCACGAGAATTAAGTCTATTAGATCCTCTTGACATCGTCAACCTCCTATATAGTTATACACTTCATTTTTGAGCAATGAACTGAAAAACTAGTAACTTAAAAGTTATTCGTTGATAATGTATTTAAACTCTCTGTTTGTTCACAAAACTTCTGGACAAGGAAACATCTGGACCTTTAATTCAGATTCCTAACAATACTTTTAAATCACAACTAACTAGACATGCTAACACAGTACCTTGCAGAAAAAAAAGTTTGAATACTAAACTCATATGATGTGTCAGAGAAATTTAGAGCACTTGTCAGATAGGATGGGAGAAAACAAAAACAGTTATACGATTTGATCTAAAAATGGGTATAAACCCATATCTAGCACTTCTATGGCAGAAAAACAAGAGGAAGTTTTGAATTGCTACAGAGATTTGTGAGGTTAAAAGGACAATACAGAAAATAGGAGATGGAACTTGAAACAAGATGTTTTTTGTAAATGTTAAAATTTTACTAAAAATATTCAAACAAACAAAAACAAATGTTTTTGGAAAACTCTTGATTTAGTTAACATAACACATTTAGCTTCCAATAATTCTTACAAGCAAAATACAAAATTCATCTCTCAGTACAGAAAATTACATTACAGAGGATGATCATACAAAGGAAAAACAGGAGCAGAGATACTCTCCATAAACAATATGTTGCCTGTGCCATTCGGGTACAGCGGGATACACTCCCATCCAAGCGGAAACGGGAAAATGGTTCAGATATATCAGTCTTTTGTCATCTGCAAACTCTGGGTCCATCTAGTGGCCGAAGCAGTTATTTTAGGAGCAAAGGAGGATGTGAATAGTGAGGACATATTTCAAGACCTCATTTCTTCTGCTTGGGTGGTGGTCTGCAAAAAAATAATAATAAAAATGAGCAAAACTGAGCACCACAACTTGCAAAGCAGCTCAAACTAGAAGGCTTTAACGTCTGAAAGTTTCTACATGGTTCTTTTAGGTTTATACATCAAGGCTCACCTGTAAATTCCCACAACAACTGCATGATCCCTCTCATACGGCTCTAGCGTCAGCTGCTCCTGAGGCTTCATGTTCTCAGAGCTCATCTTCTTAACCTCCGACGCAAACACTGCCTCTGGAGCGGCTGTTGAATCAATGCAGTTAGCCTGATGAACAGAAAGGAAAAGTTAACAACTGAAGATTTACAGCAGCAAAATCATGATTAATGTCAACATATTCGCAGCATTACACTACCTTGATTGAAATAACAAAATGGCCTCCATTTTTCAGGAAATTGTGTGCATTGAGGGCGACGATTCTTGTTTGATCAGGCTGAGCAACATCAGCAAAGATGACATCCACCATACCTTAAAGAAAACAGCAGTGCTTTAATAAACAAGCTTGCAATAAGAATTTCCAACTCTTCAAAAGTTTTCACATTAGAGGAACTTACCAACAAGCATGCGGTACTTGTGCGGGTGTCGTGCGTCTTCAATGATGGGAATAATGTTGGTTCTCTTTTTGGCCACATTCAGCAAGTCTCTGCCTGATCTGTGGGAGAATTCGACGGCGTACACCAATCCCTCCTGTGAACAGCAAATTAATAACATTTACACAATGTCAAAAGACTAACAGTCTCATGTCTGCAAGCCAAAACAATAAAAAAAATAAATAAATCCCACATACCGGTCCAACAATGTCAGAAACATGGGATACAGTAGTCCCTGAAGCGGCTCCTAAGTACATGACCTTTGCTCCCGGCTTGATGTGGATCTGGTCAACACCTCCTAAAATGGCTGCAGCCAGCTTTGACCGGAAAGGATTCCATGCTCTGTACTCAATTTTAGTTTCCCCTTCCTTAAATCAGATAAAAAAAAATAGCATGCAATGAATACAATATCTAGAACTACTCCAGTGAACATCAGAGACATGCTACTACAGGCTCACCTCAACATTTATTCTCTTCTCTCCGTACACAGACTCTCCAATCACCATGTTCTTTGTGACCAGTGCATCCTCCTTACCACGGCAGATAAACACTCCTGTCATTTTAAACAGAACCTTAGCATGGAACAATATCAGCAACAGCAATTTCAACTCAAATGTAGCCGATGATTTCAGCATTTGAGAAAGTTGTGACATTGATGACCCACCTTCATGTCTATGGGGCTCTACAGTCACCCTTTTGCCCCCTCTGAACCCTCCTCGTCCTCCTCCACGGCCTCTAGGAGTGCCACGGAAACCCCCTCGTCCACGGAAGCCCCCTTCATCTCCAGGGGACCTGAATCCACCTTTATCAAAGAGACACAGAAATCTATTAAAACAAACGTGGAAAAATACAATGCACATTTTTCTGACATATTGAACTAGAAGACAAAGGGTTTATTAAAAGTGGAGAAACAGTGATATATTTAGTGTGTGTAGTGTATAGTTTGGAAATCTCTTATTTTAAATTGTAATATTTCAAAATATAACTTTTTCTGTATAATGGTTTTCTATTAGAACATACTTTAACATAATTTATTTCTGTGATGTAAAACTAAATTTTTCATCAGCCATAACTCCAGTCGTAAGTGTCAATCGTTCTAATAAGCTGATTTGTTATTAATGTTGGAAACAGTTGTGCTAATCAATTTTTTTTAAACCTGTGATAATTTTTTCAAAAGAAAAAAAGAACAGCATTTATTCAAAATATAAATCTTTTATAACAATATAAATCTTTACAATCACTTTTTATGACTAATTTAACAAATCCTTGCTGAATTAGAGTTGGTTTCTTTCAAAACAATGTAAGAAATTGCTGGCCTTAAGCTTTTGAACGGTAGGGTATATTGTTAGAATAGATTTCTATTTTAAATAAATGCTGAAGGAATCCTGAAAGTAGTCCCACAGCCAGGTTATAAAAAAATATTAAGCAGCACAACTGTTCCCAATATTGATAAATCAGGATATTAAAATTATTTCTTAAGGATCAAGTGACACTGAAGACTAGAGTAATAGCTGATGAAAATTCAGCTTTGCATACAGCTTTGTACAAAGTACATTAATATAGAAAACACATATTTTAAATTTGAAGAATATTTTACAATATTACATCCCCCCCCCCCGTATTTTCTATTAATATAAATGCAGGCTTGACGAGCATAAGAGACTTCTTGCAAAAACAGGAAGGTTTTGGCTAGTACTGTATTTAGTAATTAAAAACCAAATATGTAAAACAATTTTTACCAAAAGTATTTTGTCAACACCAACTAACATTTCCATTCAATACCAGAATTAAATATTTATGAAAAAAAGTTAACATTTTGCTTACCTCTACCTCCTCGAAATCCCCCTCTTCCACCCCGGTCTCCTCCTCCTCGGCCTCCAAAGCCTCCTCTACCTCCAAAGCCTCCTCTACCTCCACCTCCACCTCCACCTCTTCCTCCACCTCCTCTCGGGCTGAATCCTGTGGATGAAAAATCAAATATTCATCAATTGAATCAATAACAATAAAACTTTGTTTACAACAAAAACAAGAGACAGCAACGTCATACTCCGTAAAATGTAGTCAGCTGCAACACAACCTTTATATTAGGAAAATCCTTTAGTTATAAATGCTTTAAGACAAAGTTAAGAAATTTAAATAATTAAGATATTAAAAATAATTATATTATAAACAAGGGTTGCAACAGGGCCCTGTTTTGTATTGTAACATCCTCAACCACTAGAAACTAACGTTACATACAAAGTTACATTTCACTCACTGGTAACCTTGGGCTGTGTATATTAATATTTGATTCTGCAACACGTTGTCCACTTAAGCAAAACTTACTAATTTTAACTAGGTTATCGACATGGTCTGACACGAGTACCCCAACAAAGTGTGTAAGTTAAACCCCACCATTAAAAGAAGCCCTGTGCACAATGTCCAGGATGTCAGACTAAAATCAAATTGATAAAGAGTACGATTTTGATTAATAATAATAAAAAAACTACTAAGTAAACTAAACCAGTAATGTTAAAAACAAATTAAAAAAAACAAATCTAGTTAAAAGCCATGCGGGGCTTTAGCACCGCGTGCGCAGCATGGCTCGTTTGCTCGCACGCGCAGTCACAATGCAATAAATAATAGTTTACATAAAAAAAAACATTTTTTATAAAACCACAATAAAATGTTTAAATCTATACTATAAAATAACAAACAATGTCATTACATTGAATAGAAAGGGCAATTCGTGCGCAAACACTTTAAGCGCGTGGCTAACTTGGCCGGCATGTTCACGAGGAAAACCAACACATAACCACTTATGTTTAATAGACCATGGGAACAAACATAAATGCATCAAAATCTATAAACAACTTACCTGGTCTCATTTTATCTTACTATATGTAGCTAATCAGGTTTTAATTGTACAAATAGCTGCCAACGATACAATCCAGCAGATCTTCCTCCAGACTCGTTCAGTTCTGATCATGTGGTGGCAACATGTGCGTGGACCGTCTTACCCATAATGCACCTGCAAAAAAAATGGCTCTTACTCGTTGTTGCGCCATCTAGAGGCAAACTACAACCATGCACCGCTTCATTCATATGATTGGAATGAGCCAACAGTGTTTAATAGAATTAAATATTTATTAGTTTATGAAAGACTACACACTTTGTCACACAAATTGCCACTGTACTACCACAGTATAATACCATGTTTGGACAGTATCCTTTTGTAAGTTGCAGTATAGGCTACAATGTAAATCTCACGTTTCATGATAAACATTTAGCACTATGGCATTACGATGTATTTCATTAGGAAAGCACTTTGATCAGCTTCTAATTAAATGTGCTAGCTAGAGCTTTATTTCATATTGGATTGTATAATCAAGTGACACTAATATGTTTTCATAATTAAACAAAACGAACATCATATTTATAGACTTTAAAACTTAATTAACTTAATTAACAAGGATTCAGTTTATAAAAATAGATGATAGGTGAAAATAGCTACAATAACAAAGTCAACGGTGGTGACAACTGAAAACTATAACTTGATTGAATGTTGCAAAAAAATTTTCGGCTGAACCCATGCAGTTGGTTATTAGATCATTATTCAGGGGGAAAGATTTTGTTTTATGCTCCAAGGTCACTGGGGACATTTTATTTGAGGAGGAAACTATGTAATGTACTTAGCATTACCCCGCCCTACATTTTTTTCTGTTCCAGAAGCTGCTTCAACTTGGATTTACAGTTCCTGTGAAAAGTTTTAAAAAATATATTTTTTGATGTTTTTGAAAAAAGTCTCTTATGCTCATGAAGGCTGCATTATGTAATCACAAATAGTAAAAACATTAATATTGCAAATACATTTTTTTAATATCTATTTTAATTTTCTTAAAGAAAACATACACACAATGTCATCAAAACAGTAATTGTACAGGATGAATTACTCAAGACACAGCCATTGTGCGAGAACATGTGCGAGAACAGAAGATGACGCAGATGGATCTCGATGTAGTGTTTAAAATGGTTTTAAAGTGTGCATTTGCTGGATGTCCTAATCGTGAGAAACCAACGAGAAAACGTAAAAGTGCTTACCTTTCACACTTCCCTATGATTGTGAGTGTCATCTTCTGTTATATGCTACATAATAAACTTACGGTTGAGCCACAGTAGTCAATTGGTCTATTTTAACGACGTCTTTACTAACTTTTCTGGGCCTGCAGATGCAATTACCAAGCAAGAGAGAGCCAGATTTCACCAAAAATATCTTAATTTGTGTAGATGAACGAAAGTCTTATAAGGTTGGAATAACATGAGGGTGAGTAATTAATGGCAGTATTTTCATATTTTGGGTGAACTAACCCTTAAGCTTTGCATCAAAAGACAAAATGAATTTTTTAAATTGCTTAAAACAATTATTTTAATTTGTATTTAATTTTTTTTTCCTGCATTTTTGTTTAAATGCTCCTTTGTGTGTATAACAGACTCCAAACCTTTAAATGGTTGAAATGCCTACACACTATGTCTGAGAAGGATAGTAACATTCCTGTAATTAAAACAGAAACAGAATTGGTGGACAAAAAGAGCTATAAATAACAGTGAAGGGTATTCCTCAAGCGAAATATAAATGTTAGACACCATATCTGTAAAATGACTAAAAATAGCAACTACAATGCATTTCTTAGATTTTCCAATAAATGAATGAGCAACAGTTACATTATGCTTTCAGTTTGCTATCCAGCTTTTGGAGTTTATGATACATATCTGTACATATGATTCCATACATGATGTGCATTTCTAAGCATCTTAAATAATCCCTTTATAGAGAATGGAGTATAACAAATAGGAAATGTTTTACTCATAAAATGCTGTAGTGTAGTTATAAACACCATCTGGGTCAATACATCGCAATCTATACAAATAAACAGGATTTAGAAATAGCCTACTTATAAACCTCAAAAGCAATGATGCAAGGTCAGTGGCGTGTGTTAAACAAGCACAGCACAAAGCCGCAAATATTTACATCTTATTTAAATAAAGTCCAAGCTGATACAGGTTTTCATTTTTTGCGCCTAAAATGCAAAAACTTCACCATGTGCGATTTTGTTCTATTCTTGAAAACAGTTAATAGCGGTACCAGTGAGGGGTCAATGACAAAATCTAGGCTTCTAGATTTATATGTGGCTGAAGTGAGTTTTTCTATCACTGTCTATTTCCATCTGCCACACAGGGGCAGCAAAAGATTGCAGATTGCAATGCATCAAAATTCTTGCTCGCATTCCAGTCTGTTCACATCACCATTGACAGTCTCTTCTGCTTCTGCTGCTTCTTCATTGTGCTCCTCCTCGGGCATCTCCTTTGGGCTTCGGGGCTCCTCCAGGGTTGCTGGGGGTGAAATAGGGGGCAGAGGGATGGCTTCCCCTTTCTTTGCCAGTTCTGCTAGCTCCCGTGCGGAGCAGGAAGGGGTTGGGGAGGGATATGTGTGGTGGAAGGTGTCATAATCCACCTCGTAGAACCCCTCCTCCAACGAGAGCACAGGGGTGAAGCGTTCTCCCCAAAGCACCTCTGAGTTCAGGTACGAGCTGCGGGCTTGACATGTCATTCCTGTGGGAAAAGACAGAAGAAAACGGTTGTGAGCGGCACAGAAAAGAACAACAAAAATACCAATGAAAACACAGTAAGAGACACTGATTGCAAATTACCATGGTATTACCGGATAACATTAAATAAATATTTTTTGATCAGGTTAAATGTTGATTATTTATAATCAATAATCAACTCTCTACTTAACTCTGTCAGTCGCACACATCCACCATGTTAGTGGTTATTTTAAAACTTTTTACTCATGTTTGTAATTCTGGACCAAATCCTCCTCCAAAGCACACTTAGACTGCATACGAAAGCTTAGGCAGCGGACTTGTTGCCTCGCTGCCTTATCAGGACATGACTTTCCAGGCAGCGTTTGTGCACGAAGGTACCTCACCTTCAGAGGCAGCGTTGACAGTGCAAGGGTTGGTGATAACTAAGCAAATATTTAGTAATTTCTCACTAGAAATGACATCAAATGTTAATCATTTTGGTCAAAAACCACAACTTTTATACGCCATGTTTATTTAAAGCATTCTCATCTTAGGGCATCATATAGTGACGCTTTCGACATTTCGTCTAAATCCAACGCACATGACACCCTTTAGCGTCAATATAACACACGCAGAGCTTTGTTCGGTTATGGGTAGGTTTAGGTCTGTGGTAGGGTTAGGGTTAGACCACTAGGGGGCGCCTTCTGGCCCATGTCTGCATCTCATATTGACGCTAAAGGGTGCCATGTGCGTTGGATGTATAGACGAAATGTCAAAAGCTTTAGTATATGACGCCTTGGGATGAGAAAGGGCTGGTTTATTTTATTTATTTTTATCTCAACTGTCACAGAAAGGAACGCACAGGATTGTGGGATATCGAAAGCAGTGAAGGAACTCTTGAATTAAATCCAAAGTGGGACAAAGAGCAACATTTGGAATGTTAAAAAATAAATACATTATTAGATACATATTTTATTATATTTTGATATCTAATGCTATGACATTCATACAATTTTTACTGTGGATTATTTTTGTAATATAATGATGTGAAATATAAAATAGAATTGGTCATTATTTCTTCATTTTGAAAAAAATACTAACACTAACAATACTATATTTTGTTGTGTACAAAATACAAGTTTAGTGTAGTGTAAAATAATATATAATATAGTACACATATGACCGTTGTATGAGCTGAAAATGTCTAAGTGTAGAGATAAAAATATTTCAGTTTCCATCCTGATGAGATCAGTTCATATTAATCTCTCTATAAAGCCAACTTCTGTAACATTTGCTGAAGAACTACCTGTTCCATTTCATCTTCTTCAAAGATCACTGTGCGTCTAATTGTGCTTTTGACCTTTTAAGTTTTGTGATGATCCTGCCAATGTCAACAGGAATGTACTGTAAGCTTAATTCATTTAAAATATCATACAGTATTTCCTGTGAAACGCAGACAAGTATGCACATGCACCGCTGAATATTTATATGCAAAATAGTATTATATGCACCTCTTAAAAAATAAAATTCAAGCTTTTTAATCATCTACTTAAACGAAGCTTAAATATCAATTACTCCAGAGACACGCGGTGACAGAGCAACAAAACACTTTTAACAACCATCACTTTTACAGCCACTTTCAAACACACACAGAGTGATATATAGCAGCTGTCATAATGAATATAAATGATATCCAGGAAAAACTCCGCCGATAACATTCATCAAACTCATCAAAATTCATGAGCTTCCCAGGAGTTCAATAACTACACTGGGTATGCATCTATATAATCAATGCATACAACAGCAAAACCATAAGAAAAGCTTCAGTTTCAGTGCTAATGCTCCACGAAGTCTGTTATTTTAAAAACATTTAACGGGGAATAAAATTCTTTGTTAGCCACCCAGTGCAATTTCAAAACAGACTAATAACATATTTGAACAGCACTTGATCCAGTAATACTAACACTTTCTCTTTTCTTAGGAAAAGAGAAAGTGGTTTTAAAACATTTCCAATCCTGCTAAGAGCAGCACCCCGTCCCCGTGGGCAGTTTAAAGGCTTCATTTAAGGGTACGTTCCAGGTTCATCACAAGTTAAGCTCTCGACTACCACAGAAAATTATTTCATCCCTCAGTTTGTAAAAACGTGATTGAAATAATGGAAGTCTATGGTGCAATGAATTGCAAAGGGTTTAAAATCTGAAATGTGAAGCTTGAATTATTCTGTTAAGGCATTTACATTAATTCTTTCATGCAGAAAGACTATTTAAGCTGTAAATTTGTCTGAATCATCTCTTTAGTGGTGACATAAGGGGATGAACCTCGAGTTATGCAAGTAGTTCCTTCGATTTGTTCATGACAGGAGTACATTGGAAATAACTTGCACAGATATGATTAGTAAACATTTTTATCACACCTACACTGTGTTTACTCAATAAAGTGAAGTTTCAGCTATATACAGTATTAAAAGCAGTCAGTGTAAAGTTTAATTGTGTTTTAAGAAATATTATTGTTTTAGTGAACTCGGATAAAGTAAAATCAGAGTACTCATGACTATTGTTTTTTTATAAACTTAAACGAATTGAGGCAATCAGTTTCCTCAAATGAAATGAGTTAGCTTAACTTGTTGGGTTTTACAGACATTCCAGCTGTTTTAAATGAAAGCAACTTGCACGTCATACCTTAAAATGTCAGTGCCGCTGTTTTGTCTCAAGATGCACACCAGTGTTTCTTTTCTGAGGTGTTTGTAAATGTCAGTAACCAAACAGTTGATGGACCCCATTGACATCCAGAGTATGCAATGGAAGTCAATGGGACCAATCAACTGTTTGGTTACACATATTCTTCAAAATACCTTTTGTGTTCAGCAGAAGACAGAAATTCATACAGGTTTGGAACAACTTGAGGGTGAGTAAATGATCAAACAATCGTTATTTTGGGGAGGGGTGTGGGATTAGGTGAACAAAATAGGGAGTTTTAATACAAGATGAAACAAATGACTTACTGATGATAATCATACATGGCCAGAGATAATCAGTAACCAAAACTGTACAGAGCTAAATAACACACAACAGAATATCAAAAGTCCAGTTCCAAACCTGTATGACACTCTTCCTTCTGTGGAATTAAAATAAGACATTTAGAAAAGTGTCTCAGTGTTGTTTTGACCATAAATGAATCATATAATCCATTCAATGTGGTTTTGGACCCCATTGACATTCATGATCTGGACAAGAACAGTTATTCCAAATATCAACACAGAGGTGGAAGTCAACAACATGAGTAAATTATTAGAGTGAGTTGTTGCTCAGGTTGAGGGTTAAACTAGAATTGTCATGAGAACAATTGTAATTGTTATTAGACTTGGACTCTAAGTTCAGAGTCTCCCTGATGTCATTACCCTGATTGGCCATGAGTTACCAATCTTACTTCCATTACTTATCACTGTAAGACATGAAAAGAAATCAATAATTATCTTTATAATTTTCCAATTTCATTAGGCCTTGAGGTACAGTCCTGACCCGAATAGTTTGGTATCATTTCTGAAACTGATTATTTTACTATTATCCTGCTTTTTGTCTAATAATAGATAGGTTAAACCTACATCGACTGAAAGTGGGATGCTCTTGAATGTCAGATGTGAGACGATCAAGTGCAATGATTGTAAACTGAATCTAGCTACTCACTGCATCCCACTCCTGAGCAATGATTCATTATTTCAGATGTAGGAGAGTGTGTGTTTGTGAGCCATGTGTGTATTTATGTATAGGTGAGAGTGAATTGCATTATAGTTCTTTCAATTGTCTAATTTCTCTGAGGCGGATCTATTGACTGGCCATGAGCTTGTCTTACTGAGAAACATCTCAAGAGTCCTCCGTCTTTTTGCTCCATGCAGGCAGCATTATTTGTCTATACTGACACAGAGCACAATGCAAGAGATAATTAGCCTAGTGTAATTGCAACTGCTGTCTGCATGAATTCACTGTCAATATAATTGGTGAATCCCATGAAAAACCCACATCACGTCATGTATTCTGTTACCAGGGGAACTCACTTTTCATATTTCACTTTCTGGTAACACCCTTTTAAATACCCCTGACTCATGAGCTCTGATATATCTGGAGAAAAGCATTCATAATTTTTTTTAAACAAAAATTCTATTTCACATTTTTAAAAGAAAAGTTCACCTGAAATTTAAATTCTGCCATTATGCTCTCATGCTTATCAAAAACCTAATGACCATCTACCTTAGAAAATAAAAACTGATTATTTTGAAGAATATCCTGGCAACTCCTTTTAATACAATTAAAGTAAATTAGGACTGAGGTCATCAAGCTACTTAAAGGACCCAAAAGCACTGTATGATTTTCATAAAAACGGCTCGTATGCTATATCCAAGCATTCTGAATTTTTTCATATCATTCAACAACGGCAACCAGATCAGAGAGTTAAACTAGATCATTTATTCCCCTCGGTTGAGGAGATTTCCCCCTTCCATATGAAGTATTTTGAGGTCTCAGTAAATTGAGATCCCCAGTAAATGCAACAAAATAATTTATTATTAATTATTCATTAATAAATTGTGTGTTTTTTTGTGACTTGAATCAACAGATTCATTGAAAAGATTTAACTAAAAAATTATTCAACTGCCTTTTCATCACACAAAAGGTATAATTAAGTTTATGAAGACTTATAGTAGTACATGATTTATATAATCACAATATACAATTTTATAATATAATTTTGTAGTTCTTTGTTAACTTAACTTTAAAAAAAATCGCCTTCCACGGTAGAAAGACATAATACAGGTTTTAAATGAGAATTTTCATTTTTGGAATTTTCATATTTTATTATGTGATGTAAAAATTTCCATTTTAAAAAAATACATAAATTCTTCTTCTTCTTCTTTTTTTTTTTACATTTTTAAATTAAGAATTGGTTAAACATCTAATTCAATAATCAAATATTTGTCATTTAAATATTGCTTTTTAAATTAAATTAGGGCTGTCCAAAGATTAATTGCGATTAATCGCATCCAAAATAAAAGTTTGTGTGTACATAATATATGTGTGTGTGCTGTGTATAATTAATTTGTATATTTAAGAAAATGTGTTATTCATATATAAAATATTTATATATAATATAGATTATGTATTTATATATATATATACAGTATTTACGTGCAAATAATTATTAAATATATACATGCATGCATATGTATTTATATATACAAAATAATTATACACAGCACACACACACATTATGTAAACACAAACTTTTATTTTGGATGCGATTAATCGAAATGAGTCTTTGCACATCCCTAAATTAAACAAATGACTAGTTTTGAATGCCAGTCAATGGAGAAAAGTTGTTTTGCCTGCGTAATGTTGTAGTTATTATGATATTTGCCATTAGGGGAACAAAACTCATCGTTCTAGTTACGCTTGCTCTCTCGTTCTCAGTTATCCGCACTCACCTGTGGCCTCTACCATTCCTTCCAGGATGACCACTATTTCAAACTCTTCTCGTGCCAGTTGCCCCTGAGAGATGTCCCAGAAGGGGCTGTTCTTGTTGATCTCATGGCAAATGATCAGCGGTGACACCAGAAACAGTCGATCGTCCCCCGTGTCAAAGCCCACATTAATGTCCGTCTGGTTCAGGGGGATGAACTCTCCTTCCTTGGTCTGTTTAGAGCGGATGAGCTTGGCCCTAATGGAGGCCTCCACTATGTGCGAGTTTCGCAAGTCACCGACACGGAACATCAAACACAACTTGCTGTCCCGCATGGATATCACAGCTGTGTTGGAAAACATGAGCGTTTCGGCACGTTTATTTGGCTGGGAGATTTTCACAAACATGCAACCGACCATGAAGGCATTGACGATGGAGCCCAAGATGGCCTGAACCAGAAGCAGGATGATGCCCTCGGGGCATTTGTCCGTAATGACACGATACCCATAACCGATCGTGGTCTCAGTCTCGATGGAAAAAAGGAACGCAGAGACGAAGCCATTAAGGTTATTCACACAAGGCGTCCAATCGTTGTCATCAGTATGGTCCAGATCTCCACGGATGTAGGCTATGAGCCACCAAATGAGGCCAAAAAACACCCAGGTGGTGGTGTAGACCAAAGTGAAGACCAGCAGATTGAAGCGCCACTTTAAGTCCACAAGCGTGGTGAAGATGTCCGTCAAGTAACGGTAGGTTTCGCGCACGTTTCCATGGTGGACATTGCACTTGCCGTCCTTTTCCACGTAGCGCTGGCGCCGTTTCTTCAGCGGACCTCCCGCAGGACCGGAAGCGTCTCCTCCTCCTCCCCTGACAACCATCGTGTGGTCTGTGGGGATCTACAGTCATGCGCGATTGAATAAAGCAAGAATAGAAAAAGAAGACAGAAAAAAACCATTTCAAGATAACTTAAAAGAAACAGTACCTTTAAATTTTCACAAAAAATCAGTTCCCATAAAAATGTCAATCTGTTTCTTGAGCACAAAATCCGCATATTAGAATGATTTCTGAAGGATCATGTGACACTGAAGATATGAGTAATGATGCTAAAAAAAATTCAGCTTTGCATTACAGGAATAAATTACATTTTTAAAAATTAAAATTTTATACAATTTTAGTAATATTTCACAATATTTCTCTTTGTCTGTCTAGATATTTGATGAAATAAATGCAGCCTTGGTCAGCTTAAAAGACTTCTTTCAAAAGCCTAAAAAAATGTACCAACCCCAATCTTTACAATGTAGTTAATCGTTAAATTGACTGGAACTGTTGCTTGCTAAGCTACAAGATACTCATAGTTTACAGTAGTTCAGCTACAAAGTAGCTTTCCCAACATTCACACATGTAAAACAACATACAAGAACAGTAAATGTGATAACTGAACTTACTTTGTCTCTGGAATCGATCCATTTTTTTGGCAGCTTGATGCCCTGTTTTTCCACATCCTGGCCCTTAAAACTACTCATGGCCCGAAAGCCGTAGACGTCGTCACCAATCCCACACAGTAGCTGGAGCTCTCCAACTATTAGAAGCAAACATGAAAGCTGGTCGGTTAAACTCGTAACGGAGAGCAAAGATTGGAGTAACTTACCACAAATGGTCAGACAAATGTGCCTGCATTAAGCTTGTTGCTCTACAGTGTTAAGGAATTTTCATTTATATTTATAGCATGGGATTCTTAACTAGCTTAAATTGCAAGAATTCACTAACCAGAAAGACCATCCCAGCTAACATGGAACATTCTCCGAACTTTGGCTAATGTTCAGCCAAGCTTCTCTCAAAGTTATGAAAAACATTTCTTGCAGATTGTTATCTGGTCTTTAATATTGTTCTCAAAATGTTAGCACATGACGTTCACATAACAAGGAAAAAATGCTTTTTAAACAAACTGGATGCATTGATCATTCAAACAACATTCAGAAATAAGCTTTTTTTACGAGGTGCTCTAAGCGATGTCACACATTTTTTAGGCCAAAACATTTTTTTGCCAAATACGCAAACATCTCCTCACTATCCGCTAGCTGCCTGTCCCCAAAACACACTGTAAAAAAACGCCATATCCGTAGACACCCCAGGCTCAAAGTTAAGAGTGCGCATGTGCGAACGTGCTCTAAGAACGAGCCAAATATTGAGTCTGGTAATAAAGCAGAACAACTGAGAACAATTAGAAATAGTCCTCAGATGACATGTCTGTAATTTATATAAAACAAATCTAGCGTTAATTGGATCTCAAACGGTTTCATTAAAAGTAGTTATTACTCCACCACGCGCGAAACCAACGTGGTTGAACGATACTTTGCGACAGTGGGTTTCGGGAAACAGTCGTGACTAGCTAGTTGATTTTTCCAACGATGCATCGTACTATGGTAGTGAAACAGTGAACTATGTCGTTGTACGGGAAACGCACCCCTGAACGGCTATGCTGGTCCACCAGCCCAGAGTCAAACTAGTCTAAACCAGCACAGTCTATTCAGAAAGGGCTTTTTACCATAAAATACCGTATTTTAGCATACAAAAATAATCATATATCATCATTCAAAGTCCAAACCTTTATCTTAAAGAAAAGGCTAAAAAAAACTCTTTACACAATTTTGTATCCCTCTTACAAATCCATATAACGCTATTATTTATTATGTTCACTCAGCGCAGTCTCACCCCAAAAAGTCATATAACTGACGTTTTGGGACGTCTCTTGACCATACGTCAATATTCGCCTTTTTAGGGCCCCCTTAAACGTCGGTAGATGAGGTTATGGGATCCTAACTCTACCCCAGACCTAAACCTAACCCTAAACCTAACCCGTCACCTAACTGACGTTAAAGGTAAAGCGTCAGTTGTATGACGGCCCGGGATCGCCATCTAGCGACGTTTAAAGGGGCCCTAAAAAGGCGAATATTGACGTATGGTCAAAAGACGTCCCAAAACGTCAGTTATATGACTTTTTGGGATGAGAATGTGTTGGTTCACTGACTATATAATTCCTTATCTGTTCCCACAAGTTAGCCACAGGTCTCCAGTGACCCTGCGGCTCTCCCTCTCTGCCCAAGCATCATCCAACAGCACCGACAGCAGGTGCGGGCGAGTACCATTGGGTTTCTTCACAGCACACATGTGAAAGCAATATTAATGATGGTTCTCCATGGGGAACACGCAGTCTGTGGCAGATGGGGACAGACGGCACCCACTAGGAGATCCGATCAGACAGACATACACTGGTACAGAGAAAGAGAGAGAGGGAGGATAGAGGGAGAGCAAGTGACATATAACAACTTAAAAGCAGATAAACTAAAGCGATTTGAAATGATTTATTGTGTGAACTAATTAATTATTTATACAATGCTAATATCTTGACTTGTTTGTTTTTCCATTATTGTGGCATGGCAAATTTCCTGTGCAAGATTAGAAGGGTGTGTAACAAATATCTTTAGGAGCCAAGAAGACAAACCGTCCCTATTTAATGTAGCAGACCAAAACAAACATGAAACGTTATATATGTTGCAGAATATTTTCTTCAATGTGTATAAGTGATAAAAAGCAATTTTGCGGGTTACTTGCTATTTTTGCTCCTCTAATGATAAACAAACTACTTTTTAAATTAATAATTTGAAAATACAAATACAAACAATGAGTCCGATACCATTAAAGAGGGTTTGCCATATAATTGGATAAGTGCTATGGGCAGACACATCTAGGGTTGACCAAACTACAAAGAGAGCAGCAATGCTTCCTGCGTTTCATGTCTGTAGATTATCCATATAGGACACAAACACTAACTGATTTCATCAGAACTGGAATACCAGACATTTACGAAGCTATTCTGTACATCTCCTGTCCCTTGCATGTTCACTGATTAAATATTTTGACTAATTTCACTAGCTTTCATTAAGCAAATGCCAATTTTCCTCTGGTTTCAGCAAATCAGAATCTCAGGGCCGAATTAATCAGGACACTGTCATCTCTGCCCTATAGCTACATTTTGCAGTCAAACACCCTGCAGCTCGGCCACAACTGTGCCAGTCACTCTGCCTAAGCTGGTGCATCATCACAAACAGGAACACTGGATATCACCAGGGGTCATTGTAAAATGCCACCAACTGGAGTGAGCAGCAGGAGAGCACTCTTGTTCCTCTGTGCCTCTCACTGAGACGGAGCAGAGCGAACAACCATGACAAGCCGTGAGAGATTGAAGCACTTTGCACCTTTTTGATCATGCTTTCATTATGACATAAATCTCTACTGTGCTGGAAAGATATGTTGACATTATCGATTACATCAATTACACGGTTTATGTTCATCCCTAATCCCCGGTCATGTTCCACAATTCACACAAAACAAAACTCTGCAGATGCTAGTGGATATAGTATGACAGTGCCGCTTAATACGAGCCTGCATTCGAGACAGTCTCAAAAACGGCAATGTTCATAACATCAGTAAGTTTATCACAAATGGCAGTGCGTTAAATAATAAAGTCTAATCGAGGCGTGAGCAGACAGCAAGTGCAATGCGATTCCATTCATTTAGTGCAGGTTTGTCGAGAATGCGGTTATATATATTGGTCGTGTAAAAAATGTATATACATAATTTAAGTGCAATAAATATTTAAATGTATTAATGTTTTAATTAAATGTTTGTTTGATTTTTTAAAAGAACACACAAATACATATATATATATATAGTATATATATGTATTTGTGTGTTATTTGATATGTATATATATATATATGGGTCAATGACGTGACGCTTGCTTTTTCTGTCCGACTGAACTTTTTACCAATTAATAAACATTAAAATTAATAAAATTATAACATGTATGTCTACCACCTCCCTTATACATATGCCCACTCTTATTTCTCTAAAACTAATTGGTTTATTGGCATTTTCTGCCACCTGAAGTGTGAAAACATCATGTGGGGCGACCGTCCGGCCTTGACTTCTGTTTGGACAACTGGTATTAAATCAAACTAAAATAATTTAAATATAATCCTTACCCTATTTGGCATAATTTTAAACTTGTTTTCCATTGATTGACAAAGTTATGAAACATTTGTACACACATTTCAATCATAATAAACAAACAAATCTTGTCCGAAGATGTTCATTATCTGAAATATCATCTGGGGCGACCATCAAGAAAATACAAATAAGGGACTTATATTCTGATAATCATCTCAAAGAGGATGTTGCATCAGCCAGCCTCATGGTGAGGGTCCCACAGAGACAACTAGCAGGTGAGTTGTCACTCTCATTTTTACAAACAAATCCTCTTTAAAACTGCTGCAGTGTATACGTCACATTTTGATATCATGTGGGGCGACCAACCTAAAACTGTAAATTATAAGTTTTATAGGCAAATCTTTATTTTTAAATTTGTAAATTGTAAATTTGTCAGTGATATGTGGTTAGAAGAAGCTAACTTGGGCTCTATAGCTAAGCATTAGCCTGTTATACTTGATTAAACTTGAAAATATCATCTGGGGCGACCAAGCATCATGTGGGGCGACCGCCACTGATTGCTTAAATTATAGAAAACACATATCATGCATTTGTAGTTTCTGTATGCAAATGTTTACATTCATTATATGCATTTAGTTGTTTTAAATAACTTTCTAAATTTCACCACATATTTTTTCTAAATTTCAATAATTTCCCTGCTACTTCAGAGAGGACTAAGCTTACTTCTTTTTGATTATTATGTTTTTTACCAAAGAAATGTGTGAATATTAAGCATTCATTCTACTTTTTCCAATTCTTTTTCTAACTCTGTGTATGTTTAAATATACGTTTTTTTCTAGATGGCCCCACTAACAAGCAAAGAAAAGACTGCTCGCTACAGGCAGCGGAAAATGCTGTTCAATGTGTCTGCAGAATGCTGCTATATTCAACTGTTAAATGAAAATAGTAATGAAAATGCAAACATTGTATGTTTAAGTGATTAATGGAATGAAAATGAAAAAGGAAAATGCTGTTCAATGTTATGTCCAAGCGTTTAATGCATTAGTATTGAACATTTTAATATGATGGTTTTGTGTCAAATGAAATAGTGAGGAAACTGTTAATGTTATGAAATGTGTCAAATGAAATGGATATGCTGATTCTTCATAAAATTTCATTAAATATGCTGATTCTTCATAAAATTCCATTAAATGTGTTTTAACTATCAAAATCATTGAATAGTCTTAATTGCCTGCTGTTTTTCATCATGTGGGGCGACCATTTGTCATGTGGGGTAACCAACTATATTCAATTCTGCAGTAAATTCAAAAAATAATATCTGTCCATTTTGGTTGAAATATAATTCATTGGTATAACATCAATAAGTGGATACTATATCTACACATTTTAAATCAGTTTTATGGATTTTATGAGTAAAAAAAATATGTAATTGCTTTATGAGGGTGACACTGCCATTATAGATAAAAATGTATTTAACATCATTTGCAATAAATGAAAGGACACATGAGTATATCTTTCTTAAACAGTTCAATTAATTACTGATACTTCTTAAAATATAACTTATGCAAA